ACATGCATCTATTCATATACACACATATAGGTGTGCTTGCGTGTATTTATACATATCTGTATACGGTAAGCCCCACCCATGTGATCTATGTATATGTACATATATATATATATATGGTTGTTTTGTCATAAATGGCTTTCTGTCTCTTACCGTGCGATTCGTTTAGTGCGGGGCGGATTAAAGAAGAACTCCTTTTGTAAGGCGTTCAATCGGGAATCTGTTTGTGGCGGATTCGATATCACAATTCCAAGGTTCCAGGAAAAACGGAAAAATAAGAAAAACATAAACAGCGGAAACATCAGGCATAACATTGCGGAAACACTGTATTCTCACAGGTTTCAGTTGTTTCGGAACCAACAAATCATTGATGTCATTCTCAAAACCAATGGTTTTCGTTGAAATTCATTTGTTCTTGTATAACAAACAAAACTTGGAACCAGGTGGTCCTTGTGCTTGCACAGGGATCGCTGGAGTTTAACGTTGGTTTTTCGTAACAGGAACAACGAAATTCTATGAACACCATATGTTGCAAACCATGCAGCCAATATTTTTTGGACTCCGAAGCAGGTGAAACCTGTGAAAACACAGTGTTTTCAGAATGCTATGACTTTTTCCTTCGCGGGCATGGGAATTTTGCTTTCGGACCCGCCACAAAAAAAAGGTTCAATTTGTGGTGCTTTACGAAAGGATTCTTTTTGTAATCCGCCCCCTACGAAAGGAATCCTAATGTAAGGCGTTGCGAAATGTTTATTTGGGTGGCGAGTCCCAATATCAAAGTTATAAGGCTCCAAGAAAAATGAGCAGCCATACGTTTTGAACGTGACATCATTGGTTCCGAAACACTTGAAGCCCAAGGACACATAGTACTTTTGCTGTTTTTCGTTTTTGTGTTTGTTTTTTGTTTTTATTCTTTCTGTGGCTCTGGAATTTTCTTTCAGGATACACCACAACAGGATTTCTTATGCAACGCCTTAGCAACGCATTCCTTGTGTATTTCGCCCTCCACTAGAGGAGTTCGATTGCAGGGCGCAAGGAATCCCATTGTAATCCACCTCGAACGAATATTGGAATCCTCTTCACAAGGAAGCATATTGTAGTCCTCTTCGGAAGGAATCTTATTGGAATCCTCCAAGGAATCCTATTGTAATCCTCCTCAAAAGGACCCTCGTGTCATCCCCCTCAAAAAGAATCCAATTGTAATCCTCTTCGAACAGAATCCCCTTTGTAATCCTCCTTGTCCCGCTGCGCTCACTGGAGCTTTTCGTTCAAAACCAACAGGTTTGGATGTCCTTCGCCGCCGAGTACTTCGGAGAAGAAATCCCAGATGCCAAGCTCCCCATTTCCAAGATATTTGGTTTTGGAAAGCCAGGGTCACTTGAAGTAAACGTGTCCAGGGCGAAAAACATCATTATCGAAACGGATGGCATCAGACATCTCAGCAACATGTTCCGACGGCGCCCGCGGCCCGCGGCGACCAGGTTGCGGTGGGGATCGTTTCCCCGTGCCAGCTGCGTTTCGGAGTTTCAGCGCCCCTGTCCTTGAAGCCCGGGGTGACATTGATTATGGTAGCATCTGGTTTTTAGGAGGGCAGATTTACACCCGCATCCACCACATGTTTGGTTTTCTATTGACATTTTCGCTGACGCCCAGGGCCCCTTGGGCATGGGTTCTATATCTCGCCCGTAGAGGTTCTTCGACGCAATATCGTCATTTGCAGATGCTATGCTGCAGAGGATGCGCTTGCTGAGCGATGGGCAGAAGTGGGCAGTTGCTAGCTTCATCTTGGACGAGGTGATCCTATTAACGCACGCTCCTAAGTTTATCATTGAAGAGGCCTTCGAGGAGTTAGAGGACGAGGCCAGTGTGAGGTTGAACGTTTCCCTGCGTCAACAGTGAGACAATGAACCTGCGAATTGCTCGCCGCTTCGGGCAACGCTCAGGTCGGTTGCGGCCTCCTGCCCGCGCTGGACCCCGAAGTCAAGTCTGCTTGCTCATTCCGAACGGTGCAGCAGTTCGACGGGCTTCACACCGTTCGCCAATTCAACGAACATTGGGGCCATTCTTCACAGCGACCATCTTCGTGTGTTATGGCTGCAAGAGCGTTGTAGCACAGTCCGGGAAGTCTCCCAGGCGAACGCCGAACGGTTGTGCTGGCCGCCGTGCGCAGACGACTACGGACACTTCATGGCCGTCACGGTGTACGGAGATGACGTTTTGATTTTGGATTCATCTTTCGGTGCCGTCGTCCGCGCGCCCATCCGTAGTTTCAGATCGGCCGCTTCGCGGCTAGACGGCGTCGCGTTCTTGGCCGTCGTCTCGGCCGATGTGCAGCGCCTCCCTGCAATTTAAACGCTCCCGTGCGAATTCGCGGGCTGCGGGCTGTTCGACGCGGGCGCGGGATTGCGCGATGCCATCGCGCGCAGCGGGGGGGCGGCGCAAATGAGCGTTGGCGGATGCGACGCCCTCGCAAACGGTAGTCCAGAGGCAAGCTCAAGCAATGACGTGCGGCGGCGTGGGGTGATGGTTGCTCGGGAGTTCGATGCCGCTGCAGTGCTCGCTGACAGGTGCAGGGGGGGCAGTGCTGCAAATCGTTTCAGCCATATCTGCATGGTGCGGACTTTCGACAACCGTGGTTTTCCCGTCGTTGCCAGCAGCGACGGCCCTTTCTGGGTCGTGGGGGGCGGGCGTCGGATGCTCGATTCGTTCGGGGCCGGCGTGCCCCGATTCACTTCGCGTGGTGCCAGCGTCAGAGGCAGGTTCGTCGTCGACGACGGCGCGGGGAACGCGCGCGCACCAGTGGTGGGCGAACGTTGCGTCGTGAGCTTCTGCTCGGCCCCCGGGGCTTAGGAGCTCGGCAGCGTCGAGAACGACGCGAGGTCGCGGCCCTTCTGCGTCTCCGACGCGGCCGACGGCGTCGACGACGAGGGCGACCCGTTGCGACGCGGTGAACCTGTTTTCTCCGCGCCGAAGAAGTGCAATAAGCGCGTGCGTGCTCGTCCACAGAAACTCTGCAGCGATGACGAGTCAGTTCCGTGGAAAAAAGTCCTTGCGCCCGCCGCGGCGACGCTGGGCGCCGATGTCAGTGTCGAGCGCGCTGGTCGCGAGCATGGGCGAAAGGGCAATGGCTCCTCGGCTGGCAGTGGGTGGCTTACTGAAGGACTGGACTCAGTTCAAGTGCCCTCGCTGTTCGGTGGGGTGCGCGTCGCCGCTTCAGAGGCGGGGCGGGGGTTCGCGGGCTTGCCGATGCAGGGCGGCGCGGTGCCAAAAGGGCATGCTCCCACGCGCCAAGCATCCGGTCTTTTCCATTAGTTGGGGTCCAGACTTCAAGCCGCTTCGCAGTCAAGTGAAGATATTGTTCGGCCTCGTGCCGGGGTCGAAGAACTGGCAGAAACGCCAGCCGTGGGGAGATATTGGCCGCTCTATCAGCTCCATGCCCAAGAAGACGGGCGCTTGCAGAGGGTGGCTCGTCATCTCCCGCGAACAGCGCGTTCGCTTCAAGAACTCGTCAAAGTCGCAGTGGCACGACGTGGGGGCCGATGAGGTCGACATTGGTAAGGATGCGATCCCGGTGTACACAATGAAGTTGGAATGACACCAGTGGGTGGGGGTCGTGGAGCGGGGTCGCCCAGAGATGCAGGCCCTTCTCCGCGCCGAGCCCAAAGTCGCAGAGACCCGAGCGCCAGGCCCCAGTCCAATCGAAAAGACGGATTGGGCGCCGATGGCCCAGAGGTGGCTAGAAGACCGACGTGTGTGTGTGTGTGTGTGTGTGTGTGTGTGTGTGTGTGTGTGTGTGTGTGTGTGTGTGTGTGTGCGTGTGTGTGTGTGCGTGTGTGTGGTGTGTGTGTGTGTGTGTGTGTGTGTGTGTGTGTGTGTGTGTGTGTGTGTGTGCGTGCGTGCGTGCGTGCGTGCGTGCGTGCGTGTGTGTGTGTGTGTGTGTGTGTGTGTGTGTGTTTCTGTGCACCGATGGCGCTCGAGCGTGCAAGCTTGGAGCCACTGCGACAAGTTACTTGCGTGGAGTAATCCACGACCATGTGGCCCACTACTTAAAATCTACACAAGTGGCAGACCGTGCGCCCAAAGCACGCGCAAATTATTTTCGCACGAGATCGATTGCCAAGTTGCCCGCGCGAGAGACGGTGCGCAACTGATAGACCGCATCTGGAGACACGTGCGAAAGCACGTTGTTTCGCGGTCAGCAGCTGGGTCATTCGAAAAAGAATTCGATGATCGAGTGCACAATGGTGCTACTGGCATATCGGCCAACATCTATTCCTGAAGACGGGCGAGATGCTCATGTGCGGCTGGTCGAAATGATTTGGCCTGTAGCCTTGTGCGCGCAAGCTGTTTTTTTTCCATGTTGGGAGTGCGCTGCATCTGACTCATAGACAAACATCGCACACGCATACATATTTATGGATTCTAGGGGTGATGATTAGCACACATATTTATATTTGTATGTATACATATATACTGTATGTATATTTGTGTGTTCCTCCAGAAGCTTCAGGGGAGCCTTCGGAGGGTTCGGGGGGCCTTCGGGGACTTCCGAGGACCGCAGGTACCTACCAGGAGGGTGGGAAGGAGGATCGAACAAACATCGCGCCAGTGGTGTGTTTGGTATCTGAACACCCAGTTTGGGTCTCGGCGCCATCATCAATCGGGTCGGGATGAATCGCTGGCCAAAGTGGACCCCAGGCCCCAGGTCGGGAGTGGTTCGTGGACGGGAGGAATAGGGATAATTGATATTCGAAGCACGAGGTTCACAGAAACAGGCTCTTGGAGTTGGGGACATGTGGGTTTCTTTGGACCTCCGGGGATTCCTGGGGTCTGTGGATTGTCGAGGACCTCCACAGACCTCCACAGGTTTCCAGGAAGGGCGGAAAGGGAGGACTAAGGGAGGGCCGAGCAGACAGAGGAGCAAGATGAAAATCAGAGTGGGCCCAGGATGCGTTAGAAGTGCTGCAATACCCCCCTTGTCTCAAGCACCCGCCCCCTGAGTCAGCCACGCGCAGACGGGGGCTAGCGGGAAGGGGGCGGGCTTCTTCAGAGGAGGCTGTCTCTCAGAGGGCGCGGGGCCTGTGTTTGTAGATGCAAGGCCACTGCCTTCTAAGAAGCGGCCTCCTTCTAAGAGGCCTTCCCGCCTCCCTTTACCCCCTTTCGGGTGTTGCTAGAAGTGCCCCTGCCCAAGGTGCCCCCAGGATCTCCACGGAGGCACCCGCGGCCTCCGGAGCACCCCTCTCGAGGCCAAAGGGTCCCAAGGGCCCCAACATTGAGCGAAACGCTGGGGGAACCTTGTGCCAGGGGCACCTTTAGCCCCTGTACCGCCCTCCCCGAGTCGAGAAGCGCTCGGTTGGCCGGCCACCCATCCTGGCCGCAAGAGGCGCAAAAAGGTACAGTCGAAACCGATGGCAAGGCTGGGTCACCTTCCCAAGGGCGCCCTTGTGTCCTTCCCCTTCGGCCCATCCTTGCCTTTTTTTTCACCCCGCTCGCAAAGTGTCGACATGGACCTCCACGGCCCTTGCATCCTTATCGTGCGTCGTTATCATGTGGGTTGACGGTACAGTCGAAACCGATGGTAAGGCTGGGTATCTTTCCCAAGGGTACCTTTGCATCCGTATGTTTGTGGTCCACCCTTGACTACTTTCGATGGCCAGCAGCGCTCGGAAAAACTTCGACATGGGCGTCCAAGGGGTTGCATTATTACCGCGCATCTTTGCTATGAATTTTGACCGTATGCGTACAGTTGAGACTTGTCCATCGATAGTCCCGTTTTGAAGAAGATCTGCTTTCCACCCGTGTAAGTGTTGCACTATTTCAGCGTTGTGGGCACAGAACTGGCGTCAGTCTCAGGCGAAAGGCCCACTTTGAAAAGGAGCCGCCATCCATCCATGTTGCTGTTGCACAATTTGGGTCTTCGGGTCAAAACCCTTGGGGATGTCTTAAGGGAGAACCGCATTTGTGAAATCGCACCGGCCTGTATCCTTTTAATTGATGCAAGCTTTGCACATCAATTCATGCGGCGCTAGAGCCTTGAAGCTTCAGGATGGTGAGTTCCAAGGAAGTGTCAAGCGAAATGCCCAGTCCATGCGAGCACGTCTTGTGATGCGACAGGCGGGTTTTTTAAATAAGGAAGAGGGATGGAGGAGGGGCGCGAGGGAATGAGGGAGGATTGCTGGAGGAGGAGGTTGCAGAGGTTGATGCTAGGTGGTCAGTCACCAGACAACAGGCGCTCCTGGGAGGCTGGTGGTGTGCACTGCGTGCGTGCCCTGGCATCCATTCAAAGTGCGCTGGGACCACTGTAGGGAGGTTGTCACAATGCAGAATGTCGGAAGCTGGAACATGTATATTACCAGTGGCGGGCTGTTTTTCAATCCCAGGACTTCAGGGTCGGGGACGACGTCGGGGTGGTGTGGTGTATCCTTTGTTAATCCGCTTCCCGTGGAAGCAACAGAACATGTATACACCAGGGTCCCGTATACACCATGATTTGCTTTCTTGTGCAAATTTCAGTGCAGGGCCAGAATAAAGCGTCTGTGTATAGAGTTCGGTTCCCTAATATGGATGCTGTGCGTCCTTGGGTGGGACGTAACCGTTCGGCGGGCACGAATCGAATACTTGCGCTAGAATCTTCCTCTCATCCCCTTTCAATCTTCTTCCGTCGCCTCCTCTTCTGCCCCATTCATCCTCCGTTTTCTCCGTCTCTTTTCTTGACCTCATCTTCCGACCTCGTCTTCTCGCACCCCTTCCTCTTACTCTTTGTCCTTCCCCGTCTCCTCTTTCTCCTATTCGCGCACTCTGTTCTGTCTTTTGAGCTCTGTCTTTTGAGCGTCCTTTCCTCTTCCTCTCCTCCTCCTCCTCCTCCTCCTCGTCTTCGTCCTCCTCCTCCTCCTCCTCCCTGTCCTCATTCTCATCCTCATCCTTCTCAAACTCATGCTCCTGCTCCTGCTCCTCGTCCCCCGCATGTCTTCGTATTCTTGTCTCCTTTTCTTCTTGCTGGTCTTTCTGATGCTCCTCCTCTCGTGGAGTGCCCGGGTACTCGTGGCCTGCTCCTGCTGGCCGCCCAAGCTCTTTCTCCCTCTCCTCGTCCTCCGTCCCCACTGCCCCCTCCTCCTTCGGCTCCTCCCCCTTCTCCTTCGGCTCCTCACCCGTCTTCCTCCCCCTCCTCCTCCGTCTCTCCCTCCTCATCCGCTTCCTCCTCTGGCTCCTCCTTTTCGACGTTGGCCAAACATTGGCTCGAGGCTGTTGCGTCCCTCAGCTGCCCGAACTCTTATAGGGACGGGTGTAGAGAAATCCCAGGAGGACGAGAACTAGAGGAACAAGCGCGTGAAGTGCGGCAGTAGTGCTGATTTTGCTCCTCCTCCTCCTCCTCCTCCTCCTCCCCCTGCCCCTGCCGTCAGGCCAGGGGGCTGTGTGGCCTGATTTCGCTGATCGCCTGCGTCAAGATCGCGGCGAGCTATGACCTGGCCCTCGGCCTTCTGACGGCGCTCTCGGCCTTGGTAGGCGAGCGGGGGTAGGAGCGGGCGGAGGACGAGGAGGAGGAGGACGGCAGGGCGGTGAGTGGAGGGAGTACCATGGCGCAGATGATGATGCTGCTGATAATGATGGTGATGATGGTGATGACGACGACGATGACGACGATGACGATTTTGATGGCGATGATGATGATGATGCTTATGATGATGATTGTTGCGATGCTGCTGCTGATGATGATGCTGATGATGCTGATGATGCTGATGATGCTGATGATGATGCTGATAATCATTATGATGATGATTCTGATGATGAGGATGAGGATGCTGCTGCTGATGCTGATGCTCATGCTCATGCTGATGTTGATGTTGCTGATGATCACGCTGCTGCTGATGATGATAGTGATGATGATGATGATGATGATGCTGATGATGATGATGATGATGATGATGATGATCATGATGATGATGCTGGTTATACTGATCATGGCGATGCTGCTGTTGCTGGTTATGATGACTTGGATGCTGCTGATGATGATGCCAACGACGATGCCAGTGATGCTGATGATACCGACGACGACGATAATGATGTTGACGATGATGATAATGAAGATCATGCTGACGATGATGCTGCTGCTGATGACACTGACGACGACGATGATGATGATGATGATGATGATGATGATGATGATGATGATGTGGATGCTGATAACGATAATGATCATGATGATACTGGTGATGAGGATGCTGATGATGATGACGATGCTGATGATGTGGCTGATGATGATGCTGATGATGATGATGCTGATCATTATGATCATGCTGCTGAATCTGATGATACTGGTACTGCTGCTGCTGATGATGACGACGATGATGATGCTGCTGATGCTGATGATGACGATACTCACGATACTGATAGTGATAATGATGCTGATGCTAATTATGATGATGATGATGATGATGATGATGATGATGCTGATTCTCATGATGGTGATGCTGATGATTATTGTGATGATGATTATGCTGCTGATGCTGACGATGCTGATTATGATGATCCTGATGATGATGATGATGATGATGATGATGATGATGATGACGGTGCTGCTGCTGTTTTGACGATCATGATGATGCTGCTGATGATGATGATGATGAGGGCGAGGATGATGATGATGATGAGGGGGTTGATGATGATGATGCTGATGATGATGTTCATGATTATGATGATGGTGCTGCTGCGGATGATGATGATGATGATGATGATGATGATGATGCCAGTGGTGGTGGTGATGATGATGGTGATGATGATGCCGATGAGGATGACTATGATGCTGCTGCTGATGATGATGCTGATGATGCTGATGATGATGATGCTGCTGCTGATGATGATGATGGTGATGATGATGATGATGATGATGATGATGATGATGATGATGATAGTGATGATGGTGCTGCTGCTGCTGTTGATTATGATGATGATGGTGACGATGATACTGCTGATGATGATGATGTTGATGATGCTGCTAATGCTGATGCTGATGATGATGGTGGTGGTGGTGATGATGATGATGCTCATGCTGCTGCTGGTGATGATGATGATGCTGATGACGATTATGATTATGATGATGATGTTGTTGTTGATGATGATGATGATGATGATGATGATGATGATGATGATGATGATGATGATGATGATGATGATGATGATGATGATGATGATGATGATGCTGCTTCTTCTTCTGATTATGATGATGGTGGTGGTGGTGGTGTTGGCGGTGGTCGTTTCTATTAAAGTTTAATGCCAGACGAGGGGGGTTGGGGGGGTGAGAGGCCGAATGCATGCATTGTTTCCGCATAGTTCGGCTTTCGAGCTGGAACCGCGGCGGGGCCGCGGTGCATGGCTTGGCTCGGCCTCCCCAGGAATTTCCTAAAAAACCTGGTGGACCGCTGGGGCGTGCCCGCGCTGCAGGCCTGGATCTCGCGCCGCCCTGCCACCCACGTCCCATCCTGCCCCGCGTGCCCAGCCTGCCTGCCGTGTCCAGGGGCGATGGTGGGGGCGATCGCGGGGACCGTGTCGGTGGCCTACGCGGGCGCGGCGCTGGCGGGAGCCTCCATCGGGGCGCTGGCCGTCTTGGTCCCTCTGCTCGTGTTCGGCCCGCTCCGTTTCACCTCCGACATGAACCCCCCGCGTCCTGTCACCCCTCCGCGTCGTGCTGCTCATCTTGCTCTCGCTGCTGGTTCCGATGGCGGAGGCGTGAGCTTGGGTCCTGAACAACGTGGGCGGCGCGCCGCTTTTCCGCCAGAGGAGGGTGGTGGGGCATTCTGCGCTCACAGATGATGTCATCACCGTGACACCACACGACGTGGTGTATGCGGAGCGGCTGCTGGCGGCGGCGACCCCCTGGGCGGTGGTGATGGATGAACTCCCGCTTCGGATGGAGGCCAAGAAGCGCAGGGCCAGAGGGTTGACCAAGGCGCGCGCGCTGCCAGCCCGCCAGGCCCCAGTCCTGGCTCCTCCCCCTTCTCCTCCAGTTGGGGGCGGGGCTGGCTCAGGCTCCCGAGCGGGCGCCTCCTTCAACGGTGTGATCGTCGCTCTCTTGTGGCCCTTCTGGTTGCGTGGATGGAGTTTGGAGGCGGCAGTGGGGGTCTGAGAATGTTGGGACCTCCGACAGAGTCGGTCAGGGTGGAGGATGGAGCCAGATCGGCTCAACGTCGATTCCCGGGCCCATCTGGGGGTCCACCTGCAGGTGCAGTTTGTTTCCCCGAAATTTGTTTCTGAGTATCCCAGGGCCCGATGGCGGCCCCCGGGGGCCAGAAGAGACGCCCCGACAGATTAACTTGACGAACCCGCCGCTTCGATCCTGCCAGCCTTTCCGGCCGGCTGGAACCAGTGCCGGGCCGCCTCGGATCCCCAGGAGGCCTCGCGATGGAGGGCGGATTCGGGGAGGGTCCTCTTGGGGCGTGGGCGCCCGACTGTGGCGGGTCGATGCGACGCTCCTCGCCTGTCCGGGGGGGCACCTCCCCCGAACGACATGGGAGGTTTTGCTGGCGCTGGCGAGGGGGTGGGGCTTGGCGGATTTCGCTGCAGCTCGTCCGCGTGGCATGTCGCCCCCTTCATTTTGCCAGTCATGTCGTCAGCGTCGATTCGTCCGCTTTGATGCGTTGACCGACCTTGCGTTCTTGTCGTTGTACGAGTTCCCGCGGTGCTGGCGCGTGGAGCTGGCAGCCCGCGCATTCGCAGAGCGCATTGGAATTGTCGGCGGCTGCCAGCGACGAGTGCCGAGCTGCGTTGACGCCACCAGGCGTTGAGAAAGTTCGCAATGCATGCCGCGAGAAAGTGCAAATCGCCGAGGGCGTCGTGAAGCGCGGACCACAGTTGGCAGCGGGGGTGGACTGCGTTGTGAAGGATGGTGGGCGCTGTGCGCGGGCGCAGTTCCCCGATGTCCTGGAGTTCGAAACGGGCGCCCGAGGAATCCGAGTTTTCGCGGGGCGCCGCAGCCGAAACGCGGGGCGGGAGTGGAGGACAGGCATGGGCTCCTGATGATGGCGTACTTTCGAGCGTTTACGCTGCGAGACGACGTGGGGCGCGGAGTGCCGCGTCACCGGGATTTCCGTGGAGCGCTTCATTCGTGGGCGGGGGCGTGGTTGGAGTGGCGACAGAACGGCGTGCCGTGTGTAGAGACGAACAGGTGCGTGCATTTCTTCATGGGTGCGGTGGGCGCGCGGCCAGTCACGGACGAGCGCCTCGTGGAGCGCGAGGGCGAGCTGTGCAGCCGCGAAGAGTTCGACCCGAGCTTTGTCGACGCGGCCGCCATGCGAAAGACGCGCGTCGGGGGCGCGTCGATGGAGAAAGATGATGGGCGGGTAAATGCGGTCGTCGAGGCCGAAAAAGAGACGAGCCGGGGGGCGACGGCAAGGGGGGGCGCCGCGTGGGGCGAGGATTAGCGTCGGGAGAGCGGGAAACGCAGGAAGCGCGTGGGGGGCGGGGTGTTGACGTGGGGTGCCGAGGCAGCGCAGGGGGCGCGAGCGGCGGCCGCGGCGTCGGGGGCCCGGGAAGGAAACGGCTCGGGGGGGGCGGGGGGCGCCCCTCGGGTGGCGGCGGGAAAGACGGCCGCGGCGTCCAGCGTGCGCGGGTGGAAAAGTGGTTTGCGGATGGAGGGCCGAACGCCGGTCAACGTAGTGTGGTGGGGAAAGAAGATGGCTGATCGGGTTTTGGCGCAGGAGTTCTCGGCGCCTGGCCAGGGAAGGGGGGCGGGGCGGCGGCGCGGTGCCGCGGGGCCCCTCTTATGGGTGCTGCGTGGCGGTGCAGGGGCAGTGGAGTGCTTCGTTATAGACGAGATTTCGGAAGGAGCTGTTCGAGAAGGAGATGGGGTGGGCGCGCAGCATGGAACTTCCAGGTGGCAGCTTTGCAGGCGACGGACGCGTCAGCTCTGGGCGGGAATGCGACCGACAGTGCGTTCGGCATGGGCGCGGCGAAAACCGATGGGGCCGAGCGGCGGGGGCGAGGTGGGCGGGGGGTCGAAGAATAATGCGAATCAGGAAACGGCCGCGCCGCGGATGTCACAGTGGGCGTGGTTGATTGTGGACGAGGTGAGTATGGTGATCGCGGACTTCCTTACAGAGTTCGGTTCGCATCTGCGACCGTGCATGTCAGCGTCGAGCGACGCCGTGGTTGGGGGGGGGCGTGGACAGGCCGTTCGGGGCCGTGAACGTGTGGTTCAGTTGGGATTTCTACCAACTTGAGCCGCCGTCGGGGGCAGCGATCAATGCGCTGCGCACGTTTCATTCAAGAACGCGATGAAGTGCGCCCCGGGTGCCGCGGCGGACCGCGAGCAGGTCTCGGGGGTCGGGGGCGAAGGGGCAGTGCAATGTATGGCGGGGCTGACGGGGTGCATGCGCGTGGAGGGCCCAGTCGACTGGCTCCTCGGAAAGCAGGATGAATATCGGCGCGGGGCGTTGACAGAGCGCGCGCGCAAGCTCTTCCGTGGGTGGCCGACGGGCGTTCCGGGGTCGCGGGCGAGCGGCGCGTCGCAG